GCCAGAAAGAGTGATTCTCAATTTTATCAAAGCTTTATCCTGCTATAGGTGAAAGTTACTTGAACGGTGTGAAGGAGCATGGCGGGTCTGTATACACTGCCATTTTATTCACCTCAAAAATGTTGATATGAAGTTAAATGTAACGACTGTTTAACACGTGTAAGTTGATCCGCAGTATCCAGCATGTTCCCAACGTTTATCGATATTTTGTGGTTGTTTGTTCAAATCGGCCAAATGGATGAAAATTTAGAAAACTAAGTTGAAGTGTATAATTGTAACTCTGCCCTGATTCAAAATGTTACCATTTCACAAACGTACGCATTACGGAAGTGGAAACATCGGTCAACAAAAACTGTGGTTTTGAGGTATATCACAGAGCCTTTATTAATAAATGGAAAAGCTCTCGGGTTCTTTTGTATTCTAGTTCACTGATGATACACAGGGATTCTTAGCGATTATTATGCATATTTTTAAACGTGAACCCATGCCTTGATTTTTATTTCTGTTTACCAATTACCCATAACAGGTCTTGTACATGAACAGTTATCATCAAACTACATTTAATGGTGCCAATGAGTAAAAGTGCTGAAGAAGGCATTAATTGGTCTCCAAAATGTAGGTTTTTAATGGTTATTTGGAGGAAATCTGTGCGATTTGGAGTACGTCAATAACATAGTCTGTCGGTTCGAATGTATGGAAGACGCGAAGGAACACTTGATAGGCTAGAAAGTACGGTATGTGCTTTGCACCTTCAACGTGCAAAGTGATGCTGCGGAACGGGGTGTCTTCAACATCTGGTCTGAAACTAAGTGTTCAGGATTTTCCAAGGCTTAAGCAGCATTCGTAGGACTGGAACACCTTTGGCATAGACGCGACGTTTCACTGAAGTCAAAAGGTTGTGTACTTTGCGCTAGCGTTCGTTCAGTCCTGCTTTATGGTTGTGAGACCTTGAATTTGGGAGTAGAAGATATTAATGGACTAGAGGTTTTCGACTAACGGTGTTTACATAGTTAAGCCCACATAGGATGGAGCAAACGGGTTTGTAATCTGGAAGTAAGCCGTCGTGTCTGTGGGAATCTATCAGGCATAAACCTTCTAGCACATCGAATTCGGACGAGTAGACTTCGGTGGCTAGGGCACGTATTACACATGCTCAACCATCGTCTGCCTCACCGCGATTTATTCGCCGTAGCTAATCCGGTCTGGAGGAAACCGCGTGGAGGTCAACAGATGATGTGGAAGCGAGGCATGAAGAAATGCACAGAGACATCAGGTAGAGTAGGTATCTCGCCCCTTTCAGGTTGGCTTTCGAAGGACTCCGTTACTGGTCGGTTGGAGACATTGAAGGATATGGCAGCAAACCAACATCAGTGGTATTCTTGTTGTCATTTCTTATCAGGCCAGAATGCTTGAAACGGTATGTATGAAGAGTTCGATTGTTTACTCTGTATGTTGATCATAGAGGTCTACTTTCTCCCCCCTTCCTGAAAGTAGATCCAATCCCTGTCCACCTTAAATTTTTACCACTAATCTTTTGTGCATTGCGAGTTTGGCAGCAATCGATGAAGTTAGCTTCGCTGTATTTCGCTGTACGATGGTCATGATGATAATACAGAAGATGTTCTGCACCATGCCGGATGGAGTCACAAACGAGCACATGCTTTAGGGTGTTGGTTGTCAGAGTCGAAAATCTTCAGTTATACCAAGAATTAAGCCATTGACCGAAACTTTATCTTTTCTGTCTCACATATTGGTGTGAAGTCAATGTCGCACCTGGTATCGGTTGTTCTATCTTCTGTTGAATCTTTATTTACCTGGACTTCTCCAAAGCCTTTGACAGGGTAAATCATCAAATACTGATAAGAAAGCTGTACAACTATGGAATTCGGGG